CACACACACACACACACACAGAGAATTTGGGACAATTGTAAACCTCCTCAAGCATGCTTCTGTTTTACATTTATACTCCACTTTCCGTCAAAGAAATGAAGCTTGCCTACATGACTCTAACTTCCACTTTTGTTGTCCTAACAAGCCTGTGAGATGGGTTAGGCTGACCAATAGCATCTGACCCAAGGTCACCTCCAGCCATGTCCAACACATGACTGGAGGAACCTCCAAAGCTCTCTCTCTCTTTCTCCTTCTCCTTCTCCTTCTCCTTCTTCTCCTTCTTCTCCTTCTCCTTCTCCTTCTCCTTCTTTTGAGGTTCCTCTTCACAACCCCCAAAAATGGATCTGGAGCATTCCCCTACTTTCCAGAGCCAGTATGGAGGATTCCAGAATACAGTCTCACTCCCAGATCTGCGGGATGCTGCTTTGCATGGACAGGCATTATTGGAGTCCGCTCTTAGGGAGCATCACAGCAACTCTAAACTCAGGTCTCTATACTGATAGTCCAGCTGTTCCACCCCAACTCCCCTAGTCTGACATTATTAGCTCAGCAAATGTTCTTTGTATAAGCTATAGAATTCTGAGGTTTATAATAATAAAAAACTTTAGTTGAGTGTGACTCATTTGACTACCGAAGCCCTAGTGTGCCCCTTTTCAAAATTAAATTCAATGAAATTATTTTAAAAGGGAGAGGGAAAAGCACATTTCTGGACAGGGAGAAATGGAAGAAGGTGGAGGAAAATGTAGAATTATGAAACAAATACTGCAAAGGAAGAGTCACGATGACTTACCCAAGGGGAATTTAATTCAATTTTAGTTTTAATTTGGTTTTACATGCTGTAACATTTTCATCCTCTGCTGCTGGCTTCATATCCAGCTATCCGCAGTCGCTGTTTTTATTGTTGTTTTGTAGTTGTATTTTATACTTTTAATATAATGTAACCACCGAGAGGACTCCAGTTAATGGGTGGCTTAAAAGTGCAAGCCATGAATAAACTTCTTCACCACATTTAAGAGTTCTTTGGGACAGGGTTGAAGAAAATCGTCCCTCCCCCCCCGCCCCAAGACTGCTAAATAAAGTTAGTAGGAGCAGGCTAAGAAAGCAGATAATCCCTTGTGCCTCAGGAATGGGCGAAACGACTAGAAGAACAGAAATGGACTCTACAGAAATTAAGCCAGCGTGTTTCATATCCTGACAAACAGTGAGATAGCTGTGTCTTCGATAATATCTACATTTTCCCCACCTCCTTCCATTTTCCCTGTTCAGAAGTGTATTAATTACACTGATGTAAGAAAAGTTTCTGCCCTATTTGTGGGCATCAATATTGGGGTAGGCGGGGGATGATTTCACCAGATTTCT